TTTTTTTTTTTTTTTTTTTTGCAAATCTACATTATAAAAGAAAAAAAAAATTACTCCACAGCCAACAGTTTGCGAGAGTACAAGATGCGAAGTAGCAGATGGGCCGAATGCGTGGCAGCAGCCCTCTGCATCTTAGATACAATACTACAGTCGAGACCAGCTTCTCTCACTCCTCTTACTAACTGCTTCGTGATGGCTCCGGTTACCCCAATGACCACTACCAAGAGCTGTATGGTGCAGTCGGGATGGAGTTGCTGCAGTTCCCGAAGCAATGGTTGGTAGCGGAGTTTCTTCTCTCGCTCCTTCTGGACGACGTTGCTGTCAGACGTTACGCCTATCTCGCAGACGACTATCCGTTTGCCGTTGCGGATTAGCAGGTCAGGCCTTGAATGCTCAACTCTCCTCGGCGTGGGGATGTTCTGGTCCCATAACACTCTCTTCTCCCCATGCGTCATCGATGGCGGCCTCGTCCACGTCCAGTACTCCTCCTGCATCTTGAATCCGAGGAGCTCTAAGGCATTGCTGTAGATGACCTTGGCCACAGCATTATGTCGGTGCAGGTACTCAGCATGTTGAAGGGCTACACAAGATGTCAGGAGATGGGTTATGGACTCATCAGTCCTTCCACAGACGCGGCAGTTCGGGTCTCGTTGGCGCTTCGGGAACGATCTAGTAGGTATGCAGTTTGCCCTGACGTTCATGATGACGTTTTCCACATGAACACTCACGACCGTCTTCGAGTCGTCAATCCACCCAAAGGTTGCCTTAGTGTCGATACCGTCTGGCGCCGCCAGGGATAATTCACGCCACCACCGTCCTGCTTGGGGTTGGCCTTCAAGAACATTCCTCCATCTAGCGCTGCATGCTCCACGCAACGCTTCCGTAGTTATGGGCAGTGCTTGGTCAAGGTTAAGAGATGCGACCAATTGCGTAGCCATAGCATCAAGCTTCTTAATAGGCGATGTGGTTGGGAGTACTTGCAGCATGTCCGCAAATCGTTGGCGTCGATACTCAGCTCCTGTGATCACTGATCGGGCCCAAACGTCTTCTATACTTCTCACCCCTCGTCCACCGTCTTCCCTCCGTATATGGAAGAGGGCAGTGGATGATGAATGCGACAGAGCCCCCGCCCTCCGGAATGTATTACGGACTGCCACATCTAGGTCAACAGCCTGCGTTCGAGAGATGACACCAGCACCACACGCATACTGCGCAACTGGGATTGCCCACTCATTC